AATACACACCAAAACTGAAAATTAATCTCAACATTTTCCCCTATTTATTCAAGGGCCTACTCTGCCTTCCTTACTTATTTCTATTAATGGTATATTCATTATACCAACTTCCTACTCATGAAGATTTGTTTGACTTCTCCATCACTTTAACCAACACACTGCCCACCAGCACCACCATAGAATCATGAACTAGACTGTAGCTTTTGGTTGTCAAAATATATCCAACCTTTCCTCTTTGATTTTTTCATTTTCACTGGTGCCATTTTAATTCAGACCTACATTATCTATGACCTGATATATGTATTACAGAAGTATTTCCTAGACTCCATGATGGACCTGAATCAGGCATTAGATAATTATTAAATAAATTTTTCACAGCATCCTTTTATCCTCAAAGTCAAAATTCACTGTTCTTTATTTAATGGCATTTAGCAAATAACTAGCTTCAGTCCTAGAGTGTGTGGACATGCCATACTGTGCAGTGGACAGAGTTCAAATGTCCATTTATTCATCTGCAAGTCTATTTTGAGCATCCACTATTTGCCAGGTAAGATGCTAGGTTCTGGGGATTCAGTACTGAAAAAAGTAAAATCAGGAAGTTTTCTGTACTCATAGAATTTACATTTTAGAGGCTATATCTGGGTTTGAATCATGGATCCAACATTTTTAGATTTGTGATCTTAGGCAAGTTCCTTGACCCTTCTAAGCCTGTGTTTCTTTATCTTTAAAAAAAAAGAAAAGGGCAGGGGTTAGGGGAGTGAGCTATAAGACACACCATGTAGGCTTTTTTGGGAAATAGAAATCAGGCTGAACCATGTAGTTCATCCAATAAATGTTAGCTCTTTTTTTTTCCTAATCTATTTATTTTGTTATTTTCCTAAGGCTTACCTTACCTCTTATCCCACATATTGGGGCTCATTTTGTTTTGGCCCACATGAACTCTTTCCAATTTATTACATAAAGCACCAGCTATACATTTTTAGCATATTTTCTCTTTTTTCATTCTGAAAAGTTGTTGAAATTGCATCCATACTTAAAAATGAAGCAGAACTTAAAAGTACTAAAAGATTATGAAGACTCTTCATCTGATAATATAACTGAGAATAGTAATAAATATGAAAATAATTAGGTTTTACTTTCTTTTATAATTATGTAACCAAACCAAACATCTTTTTTTTTCTTCCCCAAATTAGGAGAGTTTAAAATGAAAAAGAAAAGAAAATCTCTTCTCTCTCCCTCTTTCCTACCCTCCCACCCCTGACCCCACCTTCCATTCATTAGAAACTAACATAGAAGAGATCTTACTCAGATAAGTCTTTGCTATATTTCTGGTTCGCATCCATTGGACAAACGAGTGGAAAGTATCCATTCAGCCAATAATTATCAAGCACCTTATAAAGCACCAAGAGCTCTTCCAAACTCTAGGGAAATCCTGGCCCTTGGTCTCATGGAACTTCCATTCTCAGGAAACCGAGCCGTTACAGCTGCTGGGCTGTAGAAATTACCTCCGTGTGAATACACTTACACTTGCAGAAGATATTGGAGCTAAGCTAGACAATTTTAAGCCTACTAGAGAAATTTGTATAGTAGAGCATCTTTACCAAAGCTTTTCATTCAATCTTTCTTGGATGCCTCCAGCAACAATAAGCTCAGTACTTCACCATTTCCATTTTTCATAGGTTTAAATATGTAAAAGTTCTTTTTTTCCCTCATTTTCCCAATATTTAAGGTAGCTTTATATACCTTTCTCAACTTTCACAGCCACATAGCCCCCCTAAACACCCAGGGAAGTCCCCTGCACTAATCTTTTTTTCTACTTTGGTCTTCTTGAAAAAAACTTTTTTATCATACACACACATGCACACACAGGAGTATCTACTTCTTGTAAATAAATCAAACAGTACAAAATACATGGCACGAAACATAACCCCCATTCTCCCTCTAGTTCCTCCAGTTACTCCCTGTTAGAATGTTAGTGTATTTTCTAGTTTTTTTTGCTAAGCATTTTTATACATTTTTTCTAGTTTTTATTATTATTTAAAAATGTATAAAAATGCTTAGCAAAAAAAACTAGAAAATTAGATTATTATTATCAATATCGCCAGTGTTCCTCTGAGATTCATGTTCTTTAAAACAGCCTCTATGGACTGGCCAGCTCAGCATATGGTGAACCATTACTTCATATTTGGTTCAAGCATTTTAGGATTGAAATAATCCTAAATGCCATGTTCACCCTACCTGGTTGGCTCATAATAAACCCTTGCCCCTGTCAGGATATTTCTTTTCATTATTACTCTGTGGCCTTATAGCTAAATCTGAGGGGAGGTGATATGTCCAGAAAGCAGGTTAGCAGGAACAAAAGTGAAATTATATCAATCTTTGAGATTTAAGTACAGTGCTATGTGGCCTACTGATTTTCATTTAAAATTATCAACTTAGAACATCCTTCAGACCCAGAGACAAAAGCACAGTTTCAAGATTATAGGAAACCAAATCATAACGTAATCATTCAAGTTCACTTCATGTGAACAAGGTCATTATATCAATATATTATTATTATGTCAATCAAAATATGGATAGTTGCTGGCAGATAGGTTACAAAAATATCAGATAATCATAAGTATTTTATGACTTCTGGAAAATGCTGATTTCTTTAAGTCCTGAATATTTATTTTACACAAATGGGTTCCATTCAGTTGACGTAATTTGCAACTTATTAGAAAAGCTCAAGAACTCAGTTTTTTAATTTTTGGGAAGATCCAGAATGTCCCAGATCACCACAGTATAACTAATGACCAACATTTATTCCACTCTAAAAGAGAAATACTTTTGTACCACTATATATAATATACAGTTTTTAAAATGATATAATTTAAGTCTTTATTTCTGATTAATAATTTTTTTCAGAAGTTTTCAGAAGGGATTAAGAACTGTGTGATACAGTTCTAAGCAAAATTATGCATTGTTGAACCAACAAAACAAAGGACATATAAAAATGTGTAGGAGGGGGGAAAGGCACTTATCATATATGTGTTGATATCTTTTTTAAGAATTACAGATATTGCAGCAGTAAAAGAAATTTAGGAATTCAATAAATGTTCAGCAATTTAAGACTAGAAGAAAGAGTTAAAATTCCTGAATTTTGAAATTTCTCTTTAATCAGAAATAGAAACTAAAATAATCACAATAATAATTATAGTGTTTACAAAGGCTTTAAAGAACTTTCAACATTCCTGTGTCTCTGCTTGAAGCACATAAAATTAAAATGATGTAGTCACAATTTGTTTCTTGACTATTTTATATTCAGTAATTTTTAATGAAGCAACTAAATTAGGCATAACTTCGTGCAGCTTTAATATAGTTACAATGAATATATTTTACTTGATTAAAAATGATAAGACGGGGAGCCTTAAATATTATCTTAAAAGATTAACTACTGTGTCAATTACAAATCTAGGGGAAAGGTATTTATAAGGGAATAACTATTCTGAACACTAACTTCCTTTTGTTCATTTCATTTAATTAAAGACTCAATCAACTTGCACTCTTAATAGTAAAATTTTCCTAAATTACACATTGGCTTGCAAATGGAAGGGCATATAGCAGGGCTAAGTCAATTTAGCACTAAAGAAGATTCAGCAAGTAATCCATTTTTTATTTAAACGGGGCGAGGGGGGACTACTTGGCAGTGTAGGGTGCAGTAATTAACTAATCGCCAATTCTGCATTGCACTTTGTGGTACATGACATAATATGAATAAATCCCAGTAAAAATCAAATTATTTGTGCAGGTGAATGATGATGAGGCCTGCTTTGCCAACAGGTACACTAATGAGTAGACACTCAATGTCTTAAAGACTGAGTAGAAGAAGCAAATTTTTCCCCTGTCTTTTAGGGGACCAATTAACCTACTATGGTGGGAAGCCAGGGAGTAGATGTGATCACTATATGTTTACTGTGTCCACTGAGGGGAAAACTTGCAAAGGAACAGTTTTGATATATGCATTGAATTTTTATCAAAATACAAATAAATGGTCATAGATGACAGTTTTCACCTAAGGAATACAAAATACTTACGTTTAATTGCCAGTCTCCAATACATAGATAAATGTCTTCTTATAGCAAGTGGGCTTAAAATTCCTCCCTCCTAGAGCCCTGCACCTTTATCAAATAAGCAGCACCACACAATCATGCCTCTGGCCTCAGCCACCTCCCTGGCATCACTGGGATAACCACAGTCAGCTGGGGCTGTTATCCTTGAATAGGCAGCCCAATGCCAGGAGATTTCCAAATGCTAATAAAAATTTCCTTGACAAAAGAAAGTAGTAAATATTTTAAAAATAATTTTTTAAAAAACTGAAGAAATCTTAGTGTGTCGTGTTTTCTGTTTTTAGGATTCAGGGCGGGAAGCATCCGAAAGATGGTTTGAAAGGAAGCGGATGGCACTTGCATGGGACTGCGTTTTGGTTACGCTCAAAGTGATGGAAGTTGATTTGCATGATTCTGCCACTAAAACTGAAGCGTCCTGTTCATGGAAACCCCCGCCAGAGATTCGGAGTTTACCGAAAGAGGACTCTGCAGAGCGCTGCCAGAAATTCAAAACTAACTATCGGGGCAGGCAGTCGCTGCGAGAGAGGGACGGAACGTGGGACCCGGGGAGCCCCACGACTCTCGCCTCTAAAAGGACTGGTCAGTGCCTTCTCCCTCCTCCTGAGGTCGGAAGTGAATGTCACCTGCCGATCTGCCTCACTCTCTGGGTCGTTCCCTCTCCTTTGCCCAGTTCGGACAGTCTCTAGTGACCAGCTGCAGCTCCGGCCGCCTTCGGGCTCCAGTGTCCCTAACCCCCGCCTCTCTCCGGGAATCGCGTCCCCTCCCCCGTGGTCCCGGCCCCTCCAAGCGCTGCCGGGCGCTGATAGGCGGCGGCGCTGACAGGAGGCGGGGCCTCGAAGTCCCGGCCAAACCCGCCCTCGCGTATAAGCCCCTTCTCGGCTCTCTCTCTCCATCTCTCTCCTCTCTTTCTCTCTCGCTCCCTTCCTCCCTGTAACTGAACAGTGAAAATTCACTGGATCCGCTAACAGGCACAGATGTCATGTGAAAACGCACATGCTCTGCCATCCACACCGCCTTTCTTCCTTTTCTGTTTCCTTTCCCCCCCCCTTGCTCCTTCTCCTTCTTCTTTGTAACTAACAAAACCACCACCAACTCCTCCTCCTGCTGCGGCTGCCCTTCCTCCTCCTCCTCAGTCCAAGTGATCACAAAAGAAATCTTCTGAGCCGGAGGCGGTGGCATTTTTAAAAAGCAAGCACATTAGAGAGAAAGAAAAAAGAAAAACAAAAGCAAAACAAAACCCAGGCACCAGCCAGACAGCACATTTTTTTTTTCACCCTTCCTGAAAACAAACAACCAAACAACCATCAAAACAGTCATCACCACCATCATCAAAACTGTTAGCATAGCAGCGGCGGCAAACGTCACCCTCCGGCCACGGCGTCCGCCTAAAGGGATGGTTTTCTCGGCGGAGCAGCTCTTTGCCGACCACCTTCTTCACTCGTGCTGAGCAGGATTTTTGGGCTCCGAGGTTCGGGCTGGGAGCAGCTTCATGACTACGCGGAGCAGGAGAGCGGCCACACCATGCGAGGTAAGCGAGCCCGCGGACACCGAGGCTCCCCGGGTCCGGCCAACTCCAGCCAGATGGGGAGATGGGGGAGGGGAGCGCACCCCGCAGAAGGGGAAGAAGGTTCTCGGGGCGCAGGTCTGGAGTTCGCGTTCGCAGGTGGGCTACAAATGGCTTGGGCGTAGAAAGTTGTGGGAAGGTGTTGATGCCTCTCGGGAGTTCTAGAGGGACGCAGGAGGGCGCTTTTTTGGAGAGAGGAGCGACGCTAGTTGCTTCCTCCCGGTGCATGAGTTGCACTGAACCATTTTTGCTTGTCACTCTCGGGTGCGGAAGCGGACGCCGGATGGAGAGGGCTGCCTCCCGAGAGAAGCGGCTGGAAGCACCCGGCGCGCAGTGGTGGCTTGGAGGGGTTGGGTGCGCTGGGCGCACGGGCAGGCGGCGGGGCGCGAGCGCGGGGGCACACATACTCCAGGGTACTAGGCCCACCAGCGTCCCGGCCCGCTAATACATCCCTTCGTGGGAGTGGTAGGCAGAGGGGCGGTGTCGCGGGACTGGACTGGGATCGTCCCCTGCGTGGGTCCCTTGCGCCGGCGCTACGCCCTGGCCAGGTCCGCGTGCTGGAGCCCGTGCGGTCCAGGGACGAGCGCCGCCCCAAAAAAGTTGCGCGGAGAAAGTTCCAGAGGATAGGAGAGCCCGCTCTACCCACGGCAGAGAAGGCTCTTTTGTCAAAGGGCCGCTGCGGGAGGCGTGCTGGGTGAGCCCTTGATCCAAGACCCCCAGCGGCGACAGCGGTGGCAGGTCCCTGGAGCAAGCTGGCAGCTGTGGGGCGGCAACCCGGGGACAGGGTTGAGATACTTCCCCTGGGTACCCTCTGGGCTGCCCCAGTGGATGGCCTGGCCGGGTTTAGGGAGTCACTTTTGTCTGTCTCTTCCCCTGCAGTGCTGGGACCTTCAGGTTTCCTGCGCGCTGTCCTCGGACCCTCTTTCCCCCACTTTCTGCTTGGCCACAACTTCACTCTTTTCTTGGAGAGCGGGCCGGGTGCCAGTGTGCCATGGGGGTATATGCACGTCTCTGGGCACCTGCCTCACCCCGTTTTTCTTCCTGGTCACGCCACAGTTCTTTGTGGGACTCTCCTCTACCCTTCGCATGCCCTCCTGGTCCTGGCAACAGAAAGTTGAAGGTGGCTAACTCCGGACCTCCCTACATCCCTGACCCGGCGACAGGTGGACTAGGCAGGTAGAACTTGGGAAGGTGGGGCTGCAAACACTCCGTGCCTTCCACCGGGCAGTGTACACCTCCCACTCTCTCCCCCAACACTTACCTCTCTAGGGGGGCCCCCAGGGGGCAGCGGGCACGCTCTCCCTGCTCCGCACACAGTGAACCCTGGAACTTGGACGCTAGGGCGGGGATTGGGTTAGCCGGCTGGGTTCTGGGACTTGGCAGGAAAGGGAAGGAGGAGGAACATAGAGATTGTCCAGGGAAGTGGGTGGGAGGGAGATAGCTGAAGATCAGGGGCAAGGACATCCTCGTGGAATGCTTGATTGACCCGTGCCCTAGAAGTGGGAGCTCCCGTGCATGCGAACTCGTTCCAGTTGAGTGTCCCAGTTGGGGGTTTGGTCACAGGCTCCTCTGTCCAAATTCTTTCAGAAAACTGTACTTGGGCAATTGGCGAGTATAGAACCTTTAAGTGAAAGATGCCCCCGTCTTTGTTTTTCTTTTTCTGCCCCATCTCACCACCATCCGCTCTCCTTTCAGTTTCGCCTGCTCTGTTTGGGGGCTGCCAGTTCGCCCTTCCCTTACTTCTCCCCTTCCAACATTCCTCGGTTGGCTAGGTTATGTTCTGAAGGTCCGAAACCACGCGTCACCTTCGCTCCGACCCGGCACTATGATGTGCGGCGTAAAAGCCGTTCACTCTCCCCTTAAATTGAAGAAAACGGAGCAGTGTGGGGCAGGAGTGGGTTGTAGCTTGATCGCGCTGCTCCTGAAGGAGCAATATGCCGAGACAGTCCGGGTTCGCCACTGCGCTTGCTTCGTTCGGGGACTCTAGCAGCCTGAAGGGTTGAAAGCCAGGCGCTTGCGTAGTGCTCACCTTTAGAAACCAGTCGAAAACCCACACCCGGTTTCCAGAAGGCGTCACCCTAGCCAGGCTGCCCAGAAGAGTTTACAAGTCCTAACTTAAAGCGGCTCTCCGGGGACCCGGAGCCTCCCGCTGGAGAAAAAACAAGCTTACAAGGTGGCAGAGACCTTTTCTCTACCTCCCAGGCTCTCTTTTCCTGACCCCTTACTGTCTCTCCTCTGCCCTCCCTACGCATTTCCTACAGGCTGTAACCTCCCGCAACATCAGGGGTTGTTCCTTAAGGATAGGTTGCGAAAAGGTCCCGGCTACTCAGACCTCTTGTGGGAGTCAGGGGTTGAACTTGAGTGTGAACTTGAGAAGCGAGAGCGGAAACGAATCAGCTTTCTCTTGTGCCTCGGCTACTAATCAGCCTGCATCAGGGGGAGGGGATGGTTTCTGAACTCGGCTTTACAGTGTATCCACTCTATTTCTCCCATACACCCCCCCCAACACACACACACACACACACACACACACACACACTCCCCAGGTGGTCCCTGTCAATGCCTTGGCCTCCGCTTCACGGTTTGCAGTTGGCAACTATCCTTAGGAGCTTTGTGGTACGTAAACTTGGTCCAGGATTAAGGGGTCGCCCTCGGGACCAATCCTGCTAACCCACCTTCCACCTCTTCCAGCCCCCAGCAGACAGGTCTACAATAGTTAAGAGACTTTATCCTGAGGGAAGCTCTGGGGTAAGAAAGGGGTTAAGAGGCTCTGATCTTTGAGGTCATTGTGTGCCCACTGCTGAACTGATTCGTTTGGAGCTCCGTGGCTTACTCTGGGCTGGCCTGGGTCGAAGGAGGTTCTTTGGTGGCACACAAAGCATTTCACCCTTTGTCTGCTAGAGGGTACCACATGAGTTCTAGTGATGCTACTTCACAGATTACATTTTTGAAACGAATAACTTCTGAAGACGGAAGGGAGGACTTTTAATTGGGTCCGTCCATAGGTGAGAAATGAGTGAGCCCAGGTGCAGGTTTCAAGACTCCTTCCTGAGAGGTCTGTCAGCTGTTGATTACACAGGCGCATGGAAATGGTCAGATTTTTCAGCCCTGCCTCCGCAGAAAACCCTGCTTCCCAAAACAGGGGCACAGATGTAGTCGCAATCAATAGGTGATTGTGGCTCCTACGGATTAGAAATCTGGTTTTATGCTTGCTGTAAACAAGGATGGGGCTTGGCTTTTCTAAAGCCCAGTTTTCATCTATTATTTTCAGGTAGTTAATTTTTATTAACTGCTAACTTTAGAAAAGCAGCAGCTTGCTCTCAGGGGTATGGTAGCCCTTTGGAAATCTGGAGCTCTGAATGTACTGCTGGCCAGGCCTTTAGATTTCCTAGACAAATTCTCTATCTTAATTTCTTCCACAAATCCTAATTAAATATTTCTAACCAGAATTCCTACCTTAATTTCTTCTACAAATCCCGATTAAATATTTCTAACCAAGATTCCACATTCCGAAATTAAAAAAAGAAAAAAAAACATTGCTGGAAGGACATCTCTGTCAATAGTCCATTAATAATTGTTCATTAAGTAATCCAGTAAGCTGTCTTAATGGATTCCAAAAGTGAACGTTTAAACAGTTTAAAGAAAAATTCTAAAGCTCTGTTTCAAGTATTGTTGGAAAAAAATAAAATATTTTCTTAGGTGGTTACGTCCTGGGACTCTCTCCTACCCCCCATCCCCATCATCCTGAGTGAATTTACAAGTATTATGACACAGAAGTGTTCGCTATCCTCAGCTTTTGGGATATGTATTAGTAGCACAAGGCTTTTTACTTTTCTAGATGTTCAGATAATCAGGAACTGGGAAACCAGGATGGAAATATAAAGGGAGAAATTCTGAACAGCAAGACTCACAAACATGAGGGATACAAGATTAAAACTCCTTTGGTAGAGTTCATTTAAAACTTAGAAGTCCTGGATTTTGCTTTTGCTATACTGTTTAGAAAACCCTTGAAAGATCTTTTCTTGTCTCATTATTAAAGTGGTGTATGTGAAGCTTTGCTTTAATATAAATAACATGTTTATTTTATACTCTTCATCAAATATGAATGCTAACATTTACTTATTTTGGTAACCATTTGTTAAATACTAAACTATTAGCAGCCTTAAAAGTGATTGTTCTGGTGTAAATGTAATGAGAATACACTTTATTTCAAATTTAAATGTTACAGAATCATGAAACCTAATTTTACCACAACAAGGACTTAACAGCACCAAGAAAATATTAACTTTTAGGGTTGGTCTTCATGAAAATGACATTGGAACTGTGTCATAATACCTACGTTTTCCCTAAAAATAGCATATATAGAATTGGCACCAGGATTTTAATGTGATTCAAGTTTTTCTAGGTTAAAAAAACAAAACTTTTTTTCAGCTATTATAACACATTTTACAAACTTGTATCCACCTTTTAGAAATGTAATGTGGCCATTTTAGTTTTTATACCCTTTAGTACAATAGTCCTAAAAAATAGAAGTGTGAATCACAACACATTAACTAGATTTTTTTCATTGCATGAATAATATAACTCTAATTTGAAGGACATAGTATAACATTCAATTAATACAGAGTTTAAAATTATTCTAGTAAATTATCAAGTTAAAAAAATTCTACACGGGTCTGCTGGTGTTCTGCAAATTTGTAAATAAAGTGAAGTTCTAAATTGTGAACAATAACATCATTGTTACTGTACGTTGGTGAAATCTAAGCCTTACAGATAATTATATGAGGAAATAGGAGAATTAATTCCAAAGTTAAAACCATCAAATTGTGATCAGATTGTAACAAATCTAAGGTGATGAGCATGTATGTTATTAATGCAAAAGTTATTAGTGATTGAGGTGACTTAGTATATACATATACATAGTATATAAGAATTTCTTAAGACTAAATCATTTTTGTATTTAT